CTGTGAAACGTGGCAAGTACAGCTTTTATTCTGTAAGAAACTTCACCTGCAGTACTGCTTCCAGCTTTGGATCCCACGTATCAAGAAAAATATAGCTATAGTGCAGAGCAATATCAGCAATATCCCTGAAAGAAAATGTGCTTTGGAAAAGAGTTGGCAATTAGGTTTAAATATAGAAAAATAAAATAAATTTTAAAAAGGAGGGGGGGAGGAGGGGCACAGAATACAATTTGAAAAATGTAAGAAAACATTGGAAATAGGACAGACTTCACATAAATCACAGAAATTAAGGCTGAAGTGAGAAAAAAAAATATCTAACTATTAGAAAAGTTAAAAATAGAACATGATATTTACAGTCACCCTGGAAGTCTCATTTTTAAAAGGCTGTTAGGGGCAGGTTTAGAATATTTTCAAGAAAACTACTCCAAAGTGTTCTAGCCTCATTTCACTGAAATAGCAATTCTTTCACAGTACATTAGAAAATTCCTCTGGCTGCAATCAAACCTGGGAGAAGCAGAAGACAGGGGGAGGAAAAGCTCAGTTTTCCACAGTCATTCTCTGCCCCAGCCCACTGCCTGGCCACACAAATCACTAACTTCTACTGAAAGGCAATTCCAGAGTCACTGTCCAGCCCTATGCTCAAAGGATGGAAATTTTCAGTATCACCAAGGACATCAATTTTACAGCACTTTTGGACAATCTGTTCCACTGTTTGAGCACCCTCCTTGTGGATTTTTCCTAGTACCTAACTGGAATGTACCTGTCTGCAACTTGCTGCAGTCACCTCGTGACATACCTTGCTGGAAGATCAGATGTACTTGTTGGCTGCTGCAACTCTTGGGCTTATCAGAAGGCTCTCCCTGGAGGTCCACCACCTCCCTTGGATCCCTCTGCTCCCAAGGGCAGCATCTTGTGCAATCCTGCCTGCCAGTGCCTCAAAGTCTCCTCTCCTAAATTTTGCAGTCATAGAGCCATCAAATGGTTTGGGTTGGAAGAGACCTTGAAGATCATCTACTTCCAACCTCCCTGCCATGGACAGGGACACCTCCCACTAGACCAGGTTGCTCAATCCAATCTGGCCTTGAACACTTCCAGGGATGGGGCATCCACAACTTCTCTGGGCAGCCTGTTGTAATCTAAATCCACCCCCCTTCACTTTGAAACTGTTACACCTCATCCTATTGCTATATGCCTGTGTAGAAAGTCATTGTCCTGCTACTTGCCTTCCACACTTCCCTCAGGATATTAACCTCCACCATCTCAGGGTGACTGCAGCCAACCCTATCATCAAACTCATCCCTTTAACTGGATCTTAAGTGTGTTCAAGTAGCAGATCCCACACAGCAGATGCCAAAGCAGCCACCCAGCACCTATGAACAAACAATGTCTTTAAAGGACTCCAGCAATCTCCTAACCAGCAACTGGAAGACTTCTTCCAGTCATAAAAGTAGTACATCCAGCTTCATCTCTTGCTCGGGTGGCCTGTAACAAATGCAGATCACATCACCCTGTCAGACACCTCTGTTCTTGACTGAAAAGCTTTCAATTAGCCCATCGTGCCTTTCCCAATATTTCCTTGTGCACTTCATCATCTGCCTAACCTTCCTAGATAACCCACATCCACCTGTTAATCCACACCTGTTCACTGTGTCTCTGAAGTCTTGATGACACCAGAGCTCTGCAACTGCATACTGACCTCCAAGTCCTCCTCCACATGCTTTTGCAAATTCAGCTGTAAGCATCTGACATGGGCTCTCATCATACTTCAGGTTAGATTTGGAGATCCTAATGCATCACTTTCTCCTGCTCAGGCTTCCCCTTTCTTGCACTACAGTCTTTGGGGTCCACCCTGCAAAGTAAGAAGTTTAAAACTACACTCCCTAGACTAACAAGTCTGCTGGCAAAGATGTTCTTACCTCACTTCATCAGAAGGGTGAGAAGAGGCACCCAGAGATAGAGGATGGGGAAAGACTGTTTATTAAGCAGCAGCAAGAGTTATGACAAACACAAGTCTGCTGGCAAAGATGTTCTTACCTCACTTCATCAGAAGGGTGAGAGCACCCAGAGCTAGAGGATGGGGAAAGACTTTTCATTAAGCAGCAGCAAGAGTTATGACAAAAAAAAATAGACATAAAACTGATGAATAAATAACTTGGAAGTATTCAAGGGTGAGCTGGATGGAACTTGAAGCAACCTGGCCTAATGGGAGATGTCCCTGCCATGCTTGGGGGTTGAAATTACATGATCTTTAAGGTCCCTTCCAACCCAAACCATTTTACGGTTCTATGATTCTTGATGCTTCCCCTTACCCAAGCTTCTCTGTCTTTCCTATGAAAAATTATTTCCACCATCTGAACGTTGATAAATCTTTGTTCATTCTTCTAAAAATAACAATCATCTGCATGAGACCAAATTCTCTGAAGTAATTATGAATATATTTTAATTTCTGCAGTCAAAATGCAGATGGCACAAACCAATGGAATACTCTGAAGAGCATGTAAAGACCCCAAAGAGAAGTTCACCCTGCCCTTTATCTTCCACATGGGGAACATGACATTTCTTCACTCTAGATTTTGAAGAAGTCAGGTACAAAGCATCAGTAAAAAAATGAAGATCTTCAAGCACTCAGCAACAGACACAGCATTTTAGAAACTTTAAAGAACACTCTCTACAGATGCCTTGATCCATGAGTCAGAATGCATAGAAGGTCCCTGAAAAAAATATAAAATTTCTTTTAAAATGTTGAGAAAATATGAAGAGAAGCATCTTTTGGAAATATTCATCACCTTAATCCTACATGTGCTCTGTCTGGTCAAATCCTGTGCTAAAACAAACCCCAGCTGATGAGCTGATACCGATGCCATCGAACAGATGCTAAATCCCAGACAGCATGTTCTTAATTTAAATTATCTCAATATACCTATAATCTCAAAGTTACACTAAATTACATTTTTCTTAATTGAAATGGCATGGCAGTAAGCTTCCTCATAAGGTCAATTTTGCCAATAATTTTCATTCTCTCAAAAATATCCAAAGGTTGAAGTGAATAATATGCTGTGTTGTCTTACCCTCCTGCCTTCAGTCTTCCAGCAGTAAATGAAAACTGATCAAGGTTTGCAATACTTTCACAAATGAAGCTCTGAATATCTCATCAATTGAAGCCCTGAATACCTCCCTGATTAAGCCAAGGAAAATGAACTTTCCATACTGGAAAATGCTTCTCCAGACATACAGGTGCAACCTGAAATCCTCATCCTTTTTGAACTGTTTTTGACCCTCACAGGAGTTTCATGTAACTAACATCCCAGTGCAGTCAGTGTCATCCACACATGTAAAATGTGAAGCCTTTATTTATTGTTATCATTCTATGATCACAGAATCATAGAATGATTTGGGTTGGAAGGGACCTTAAAGATCATCCAGTTCCAACCCCCCTGCATGGGCAGGGACACCTCCCACCAGACCAGGTTGCTCCAAGCCCCATCCAACCTGCCCTTCAACACTGCCAGGGATGGGGCAGCCACAGCTTCCCTGGGCAACCTGGGCCAGCATCTCACCTTAAAGATGTTTCTTTAAGAATTTTTAAACACGTGCAAATTGCTGCCTTTTGTTAGAGTAGCTTCAGATGTAGGAACAGAGAGAACATTTGTAACAAATCTTACAAACACAGGAATTAGTGCCTTCACTGAATTCAATACACCAAATTCATTCTTTGTTCTACTGGTGGTATCTTAAGGTACTGACTGACATGTCAGCCATGATAGTTTCAGTATGAAAATTAGGCTTAAATACAGAACACAGAATGAATGTAAACAGTGTTGCTCAGCAACAGAAATGAATGAGAATGTATTTTTACACCATGATAAAATTATTACAACCATGCACTCCATTCCAGCATAAGCATTCAGCTATGGTATCAAAGAACATTTGTATCTTTCTGTAATATGGAAAGTGAATTCTGGTTAAATATTGACATTTTTGCATGAATGAAATTCTTTCTGAAATGGGGCTTAGGGAGCCTGGACAGAACCAAGACACTAGGAACCTCATTTATGTCTCAACTTCTGCCTTTGACTAATCCAGTGAAGCTGATTTAATAATTAGTACTTAAAAAATCATTTCAGTTCACTAGATAAAAGTACAATTAAAAGTACAAAAAAGGCATCTCTAAATATAAACCACAATTTGATTGTCACTTTTTTTCTCATCTCCTGCCACACACTATCATGGGAATCTGAGGATGATCTGAGCGAAAAATAGAAATCTCCTGGAAGATGCTGAGTATCAACACCTGTCTTGGGGGCTGCTGGCTGCACAGAACATTGCCCTGAGGAAAATAATGAAAAAAATGAATGTTTCAGAAGTCAAGCAAGTTATTTTTTATGGAAATTACAAAATTTGGTTTATTTTACCTCTAAACTGAATGCATTGTGTAACTACTAATAATAAGGCATTATTTTACTTCCTTTAAAATTATGATGGGAATTTCATCTTTAGGATGACTACACCATCATACAAGTCGTTCCTAAGCCTTAAAATGTCTACCCAAGAGCAGTTCTCTTATTAAATCTGTGGAGAGGACTTCCAAATAAATTATTCAAATGTGTTCTAATTTCTCCAAATTTAAATAAATACATGTAAACTCTTTAAAGCTTCATGTCTTTTTTCATGATTCAGTTACTTGGTGGGGGTAGAACAGAAAAATCTGACTTTGTAAAACTACAACTTATCAATCCTAATTATACTTCATCAGTTTCCTGGAAGTTGAGAAAAACACACCAGGCTTGTGCCAGGATCAAAAAGCCATGATAGTAAGACCCAAGCATCATCTAAACAGCATACAGCACAATTAACCTTAAACAGTCTATAATTATTATACACTTCATAGTTCTAATTACTTTTCAGTAACACTGCTATAAAGTGAGTTGAATTACAAAATAAAATGTGTCATAGGGCATCTATTTATATATTTTTAAAAGCAAGAATTTATGCAAGGATATAATTTTCCAGCAAATATCCAGCTTGCTGTTAATCTCCAGACCTTTTGCTTGTTGCCTTTCTTCTTCCAGCTGCTTTGCGTTGGCAAACTGGGTCCCATCAGCAGGGGATTCTGGGAAGCTCTCAAAACTGAACTTGTCAACTTGGATAGCCATGCTGTAGCACAGGGAAAAAGAAAGAGGAAAAAAAAGCAGGATTTTTACTATAGCAATGTTCCAGATGTTACTTCTGCAGCAAAAATACCAGTGGGCAACCAAGCATCACAATATTAGCAAACTTGTCCCAGTCGTATCTACTCCGTACACCAGTGATATATAAACCATACCATTTATGCTACTGGAAACAAGTCCAAGTCTACTGAAGATGGTAAGATTTTTTACAAATCATCAATCAACATTTTAATGCTTTTGAGAGTGGCACACCAGGCACCTGGAAGTGTTGAAGACCAGGTTGGGGCTCTGAGCAACCTGACCTAGCGGGAGGTGTCCCTGCCCATGCAGGGGGGTTGGAACTGGATGATCTTTAAGGTCCCTTCTAACCCAGACCATTCTAGGATTCTATGATCTCTTTTGCAGTTGCAATGAGATGACCTTATTGTGGTTCTGCAGAGTTTCATCTGCCTTCACTCCTGGTATGTAAAAGCTCCTGGTGTGCTTAATACTTGCTAAACAAAATCAGCAAGACCAGCCAAATCCTGATGAACATACTATTTAAAGTAGATTCTTAAACCAAAACTATACAGAAGAGACAATATTATTTACAAAAGTGTCTCCTGAAGTGAACAGAAACAGACTTAGAGAGCTATGTCCTCTTCATGGGTTTTACAGGACAACTTCCTAATTTTTCCTTTAAATATTTCCTTACAAAACTCAGGAAGGAAAGATAAAATAACCACAGTTCTAGGGCTTAAATGTGTCCCTTGGCTTTTTGTTTCAGAGGATGCTTCCATCTTGTGTAATCTATCTTCATGAATTACAGGCAATATTAATTTCAGTATCATAGTCTAATTCATTGGTAGTAAAAGGTTAAATAATTCCTTTATTAAATGTACAGTTAGGCATAAAAGCAAATTAAATTAAATATATTATGCTATAATGCATGCTAAACACTTATATGTAAAACTAGAATGACTAATCTAATATAAAGGGAATTTAGACCAGCTCACATCACATGAAATGTGGTTATAGCAGATCTAATACACTGTGCTGCCAAAACAATTTTAATTTCCTGAATCGTCTGAAATAGAAAAATAATTAGGGAAGAATTAAAATATATTGCTCTTGAGATGACTTTGCACATAAGGAAAACAGATGACCAAGCAGCAGCTCTGAAAAGCATTCATGATGAAATGGAACTACAGCCAAAGGGATATGGGAAGGGCATTTCACAGCAACACAGAATTATTATTATCATTCCTTTACCTGTTTCTACACATAAAGAAGAAAACATATTCCAAAAATGTTGCCAAAAGGAAAGTGCTAGTGAGAAAAGTCAACAAGAAAGGGCTTTGAAACTCTCCAGACCAGAAGAGATTTTCCATAAGTAGCATTAATTTAACTAAATCTTGACCCTAAAAGAAATTGAGGCAAAAATACACAGTAATTACAAGAACAAGGACTAATCTAGAACTTATGAACTTTACTGTGGAAAAGATTAATTCAAATCCAACCATCTCAGGAGAAGCTGTTAATGTTCCAAAACTACCTTCATGATTACAAACTACAAATACAGCACTGAGACAAACATGGCACGATGCTATTTCTGTCAACAATGTCTTCTGCAGACACCTTTGCTGATCTTCACATTTAAAAATCAAAAAAAGGAGAGGAATTAATCTATTCCTCTCTAACAGGAGGTTTTGTTTAGGCTATTTATTCCTACAGCAAGAGATCATTAAGTGTTCTTCATTTGCATGCAAAGTCCATCATGGGCTGGACATCTAAAAAAAGCTAAGATGAGCTACAGAAAAGGACTGCAGTAACTGCAGGAATCAAGTCAGAAATAAAGAATGTAATAAAGACAGCTAGATACCTTCTGTGGAGTGGGTTTTTAAAAAAGACCAGGCCTGAAACTATGACTAATGCTATCAGTTCTTACTGCAACTTGAATATGTTCTATTCAACATCTTTATTGACGACCTGGATAAGGGGAACCGAGTCCACCTGTAGTAAGTTTGTGGATGACACTAAGTTGGGAGGAGTGTCGATCTGCTGGAGGGAAGGGAGAAGATGCAGGAGGAGCTGGGCAGGCTGGATTGATGGGTTGAAGCCCAGTGGCATGAGGTTCAACAAGACCAAGTGCAGGGTCCTGCACTTCGGCCACAACAACCCCAGGCAATGCTACAGGCTGGGAGAAGAGTGGCTGGAAAGCTGCCCAGCAGAAAAGGACCTGGGGGTGCTGGTTGACAACTGGTTGGACATGTCCCAGCAGTGTGCCCAGGTGGCCTGGAAGGCCAATGGCATCCTGGCTTGTATCAGGAATAGTGTGGCCAGAAGGAGTAGGGATGTGATTCTCCCCCTGTACACAGCCCTGGTGAGGCTGCACCTCGAGTCCTGTGTCCAGTTCTGGGCCCCTCACTGCAAGAAGTATCTTGAGGTGCTGGAGCAGGTCCAGAGGAGAGCAACAAGGCTGGTGAAGGGACTAGAGGGAAAGTCTTATAGGTAGAGGCTGAGGGAGCTGGGGTTGTTTAGCCTGGAGGAGACTCAGGGGAGACCTTCTCCCTCTCTTCAGCTACCTGAAGGGAGGCTGTAGTCAGGTGGGCACTGGGCTCTTTTTCCAGGCACCAAGCAACAAGACAAGAGGGCCTGGCCTGAAGCTGCTGCAGGGGAGGTTTAAGTTGGAGTTTAGTGGTGGAGGCTCCATCCCTGGAGGTGCTTAAGGAAAGGCTGGATGTGGCACTTAGTGCCATGGTCTGCCTGACATGGTGGTGTTGGTCATAGGCTGGACTTGATGATCTCAGAGGCCTTTTCCAGCCCCAGTAATTCTGTGATTCTGCAAATGCAGGTTGAGTTCCCTGAACTTTGCACGGGCAATGCATGTGGAAGACAGAGACACAACTGGAAGATTATGAAAACATTTTTTACCTTCATTCCTGAGCTTATTTCATCACTGTGGTACATAAGCAGATGCAAACCCAGGACTTGATTTCTGCTATGTACACAGTACTGCTTAAATCCTCAAACAGCCACAGTTAGTTACCTATAGTCATATTCAAATTACCTTCGTCGCAAACATTCAAAACATATTTAGAATCCATCTCCCAACAGGCCTGAAAAACAGCTCCTATCTAATTGTTGTGCCACACTTCTCTAAGTGAATGATACATTAGAAAAACATTCCTTCCTGACAATATTTAATATTTAATTGAGGGTGTTCAGATTGTATTCCTCTGTTAATGGATCATTACTGCCAATAAAGCACATTTTTTTTTCTGAAAATTAAATATGCATGGAAGCACTTTTTTCCTCCAACAGTCTTCAAGAAATCCACACCAGCTTGAGGGATATAGCCTAGATTGCTCTTAGCAACAGTTCATTCATTTTGCAGCTCTTTTGAAATAACTTTTATTGAGCTGTAAGATATGGGAAACTTTAGTAAACAAGGCTCTTAGTACCCGGAACCTATAGGAATTTTACAAATGTTTTACCCATCTTTTTATATACTCTGTATATACTATATTGAGCACAGTGGCACCTCATGTCACATGAGAAGATATAAAACCACCCCCAACAACATACTTGCCAGCTAGAAAGTGAAAAGGTCTGATTAAAAGAGAATTATGAAGAGGAAAAACAATCTCACAAACCAATATGATGACTACAGCTGTGGGCAGAATGTATGAAAGCAACAGAGAGAAAATAAAATTTTTCAAGACTATATTGACACACATAAAGCACGACAAAATTTAACCCTAGCTCTTTTTCTCAAGCATATATGCCTTTCATCACCAGTCTTCTTACTTCTTCTTGTGCTAAAATACCCATCTCGAGTTTTGTCTCTGCATTTTTATAAGAATAATGTTACTTGAGTATTTATTCCTCTGCTATGGGATGTGTAGCAAATTGGAAGACTTTCCACAAAAATCAAGACAAAAAATAAACACCATAACCTAAATCAGTCACTCATCCTTAAAAACCTACCCCTACACAAACCCAGCTTCTTTGCTTTCCTTGGAACACACTGATTTCTTCCATCTCAAAAGAAGCATTTCACCAGTCAGGTATTAATGACTGGATGAACAATTGCTGAAGCCAGTTGATTGAAGGAGGAAATAGATAAACTGGGCATTGTGTTGCAAACACCAGCTTAAATAAATAAATATTTTTTTTCCAGTTTTTAAGTGATTTGTGGAGATGATTTGTGGCTTTATCCTACAAGAAGTAGAAGGCAGTGAATCACAGAATCACTTAGGTCAGAAAAGACCTTCAAGATCAACAAGTCCAACCGTTAACCCTACTCTACCTAGGCCAGCACTAAGCCGTATTCCCAAGTACCACATCTAAATGACTTCTAAACACATCCAGGGATGGTGACTCAACCATCTCCCTGGGCAGAATATTCCAATGTCTGAGAACACTTTCAGTGAAAAAGTCCTTCCTAATGTCCAGTCTAAACCTCCTCTAGTGCAGCTTCAGGCCATTTCCTCTTGTTCTATCCCCAGTTACTTGTGAGAAGAGACCAGCACCTGCTTCTTTACAAACTCCTTCCAGGTAGTTGTAGAAGGCAATAAGGTCTCCCCACAGTGAAAGGCAACCCCTTGACCATTGCACAACTTTGTTCCATGTATCATGTTCCTGATATTGAGATGTATTTTAGCTGCAAAAGTCTTTCTTCACTTCTCCCTACAGATACTTTACAGCCTGATTCTTGTTAAGAGTTCCCTGCACTTCTCTTCTCCCCGTGTTTGTTGCAATATACAAGAATCTACAGAATCTATGCAGAAAGAAGTAAAAAACCAAGACAATTCCTATTGAAACAGGCATTCAGTTCCTTACAAACAGCTTGGATAATGATGGCTCCTGTTGTGCACAGGTAACTCTACACATCACCTTGCCCTTCACAGTAATTACATCTCAGGGAAGACATAAAAGACCTTAAAAAGCAGAGGTTTAAACACAGACTTGCTCCAGGAAAAGGGACTAGAATTTCATTTTAAC